CAGAGAATAACGTATACTTCCAGAAAGCCACATCAATTTTAACAGCATCTGTACAAGTATAGTCTGATATGTAACACTAGTGTATATCGTCTGTACTGTTTGCTGTTTGTTGCAAGTGGGCAAATTGCTGGGAGGCAGAGGCAGATTTTTTTCCCCTTGTTTTCCTCCCCAAAAGTTAGGTGTGTCTTACACTTCGGAGCGTCTTATACTCTAAAAAAATGCAGAGGTGCTACTGCAGAGGTGTCAAACTCGATTTCATTTGAGGGCCGCATCAGGGTTGTGTTTTACCTCGGGGGGTGGGGGGGGTCACCAACATGACATCACTCATGTCAGGGGGATCACCTATGGTGGCCCGAATACTGTGCCAGTGAAAACAGGCTCCTGAGCTCCATTTTCAGCTGCGGCGGCATCCTGCAACCCTCCTCCAGTGAAAATGGAACTCGGGAGGGCTGCACATGACCCTTGCAAGCTCCATTTTTGTTGGCAAAGGCACTGCGGGGCGGTCCGCTGCTTCCAGGGTGACCCAGTGGGCCAGATCTAAGCATCCCACAGGCCGCATCTGCCCCTCCCCGGCCCTTGCATTTGACACCCCTGATCTACTGTATAATTCAGCATCTCAGTCTGGATCTATAAAAAGTCCTCTATCATACTTGATGCTTCAGTCCTGGTTTGGGCTTGCAGGATGAGTCTCCCCGTCCTGCTGCAAGAAGTATAGTCTCATTTTTCAATTACATTTACTCCTGTTGCTTCAGGTTTTTTTCCTGTGCATCTTGCTGTGAAGTGCGCAAAATCAGCCTCTCTTGAGTTGCTAGTTAACAAAGGAGCGAATGTGAACGCAACAGAATGGCAGAGTGGACGGACACCTTTACATTTAGCTGTTGAAATGGATAATCTTAACATGGCTGCATGTTTGATAAAGAAGGTGAGTGTGGGGGGCAACGCTAATGATGCATAGATCTGTTACAGTACAGAAAGGTTACTATGAACAAATGGTAGTCCAGCTGGGAACAAGATAGATTTTATAGTTGGTACTTTATAATGCTGGAAAATTACAGAATGCACTGTTCTGACCTAGGCTCCCCCGTGTCACAATAAACCCCTTTTATTTAATTTAAAGTGAATTCCTCTTCAGCAAAGTCTTTCCTCTCCCACAGTCTTTCAAGATAGTTCACAGTTACTGACCTTTATCAGGCTTGGAGAGTGGCCAGGCCCATATCTTTCAGATGCCGCAATACTTGGCAAGAATGCAGGAATGAGCTAACTGTCTTCTGAAAACTCCCCTCCTCTTTCGCTCATCTTTTAATCCCTATGGGAGGGCTATTCACTGTCCACCTATGGCCTTACTCCCAAGTCGACCCCTGTTCCTCAGCTATTCCCTTCGTCTAGCAACTCTGCGCATGCGCACATCAGGAACAGGCTCCAGCTGTTCGTCTACCTCACTGATGTCTGACTTTGAAGGCAGCTGATAACTGTCAGATGGCCCTGGTCCCATCTTTGCCTCCAACGCAGAGCCCTCATCAGCCTTCCCCAGACTCCAGGACTGACCCATGTTCCTCCCAACCTCCTCACTGAGTCTGCCACCAGCTCCGCTGGCCACTGGCGGGCCACAACAGAAATCATGAAAAACATCAAATATTGCCTCTCCTGAATTTCTGCTGATTTTCCCTTTCGTGTAAATCTAAGTCCTCCTAGAAGACATCCAAGGTCTGTGCCTTTACTCCCGAGTCGACCCCTGTTCCTTAATTGTTCCCTTCTCAAAACTCTGGACAGGCTCCAGCTGTTCATCTGTCTCACTGATGTATGACTCTGAAGGCAGCTGATAACTGTCAGATGGCCCTGGCCCCTTCTCTGCCTCCCACACAAAACCCTCATCAGAACCTTCCCCAGACTCCAGGACTGGCCCATGTTTCTCCTCAACCTCCTCACTGTCTGATTCTGCCACCAGCTCCTCTGGCAGATCACAACATACAGAAAGGTTGCTATGAATAAATGGTAATCCAGCTGGGAACAAGATAGATTTTATAGCTGCTACTTTGTAATGCTGGAAAATTAGAGAATTCACTAGTAGAGTTTGCCGTGGTTTCTTGTATCCTCCCAGACCATTTATAAGTAACTATTTATAAATAGATAAACAAACCATTCCTGTTCATATCAGAAAGACATAACATAACATAACAACAATAATGTAAAATACAACGTACGGTATTTTTTGAAGTATAAGACGCACTGGAGTATAAGACACACCAAGATTTTGAAGAGGAAAACAAGAAAAAAAAACAGTTTTGGGGCTCTGTGTGTCCGTTTTTGCCCTCCCAAACCCCCAGAAGCCCTCTGCAGGCCTCCCAAATCTTTTGTGCACCCTGTTTTTGCTAAAAACGGGCCCATTTTTCGCACAAATGACATGCGTGGGGCAGGGTTTAGGAAGCTTTGCTGAAGATTGCTCAGTTAATGAGGATGGAAACTAATGCAGCGAACAAATTTTTGAAATTTATGTACAGTTATAACAACAGACACTAAACATAATTGGACTTGCGATAGGTTTCTTAGTGATGACATTTGTATTTGTTAAAATATTATTTTGGCTTCATTCGGTATTGCAATTATTAAAAAGAGATAAAGGAAATAAGCTGGCATCTGTGAGATAAGCTGTTAACTATTAATTAGCATATCCGTTTCCCGTCTGCTACCCTCTAGTTAGGTTTTATTATTAGTGTCTGTTATTTATTGCTAAATAAATAAAAGGGGTATTTAAGGGATGTGGTGGCTCAGTGGCTAAGACACTGAGCTTGTCGATCAGAAAGTCGACAGTTCGGCGATTCGAATCTCTAGCGCCGCGTAACGGAGTGAGTTTCCGCTACTTGTCCCAGCTTCTGCCAATCTAGCAGTTCGAAAGCAGATAAAAATGCAAGTAGAAAAATAGGAACCACCTTTGGTGGGAAGGTAACAGTGTTCCATGCGCCTTCAGTGTTTAGTCATGCTGGCCACATGACCACAGAGACGTCTTCAGACAGCGCTGGCTCTTCAGCTTTAAACGGAGATGAGCACCGCCCCCTAGAGTCAGGAACGACTAGCACATGTGTGCATGGGAAACCTTTACCTATTTATTGCTGGCTGGAAGTAGTGAAATCTGAAATCCTATTTGGAAATGGTAGACATTCTGAGAGTGGAAATTGTATGTACAAGACATGGGTTGTAAATGCAACCCATACAATAGGCTGCATCTGCTTGGAATCTTGGAATCTAAATACTTTTGCACAGATAGGAAAGGTTGTCTTTTATCTTTCACTCATTCTGTATCTCTTTCCCCCCCAAGCTGGGAGCTGATGTAAATGCTCAGACGTCTGCTGGAAATACACCCCTTCACTTAGCAGCAGGTTTGGGTTCTCCAATCCTTACGAAGATGCTAATCAGTGCAGGTAATGAATATCTTCCATACATCCTGAGTAATTTAGCTTCCTCTGAGAAATGGTGGGTTTGTTTGAAGAAAGGGAGGGGAACACCTCTTCTTCTTCGGCATTTTGCTTTGCCGTCTTAAACCGTCTTCACATTTTGAAAGCAGGAATTACTGAAATTTTAAATTTCACATTCTGATACTTTTGTTTCTTACTGTTAGTTTCCATCTTACCACATCAATCTCATCTCTTAAACACCCATGTTATAGTATAATTAATTACTAGTTGATAACCTGGCGTTGCCCGGGTATTTATTTATATGCGGGAAATGTCCAGACCAAACATAATTTCTAATATTGGATTTTCCCCCCTACCAGAGGGAGCCCCCTTGTGAAGTACTGTGAAGCCGTTACCATGGCAACTCCACTGTGCTGTACAGTAGAATCCATTTTAAGACACAACAGGCTGTATCTTAACAGAACACACACCCCAAGGGGTTTTAGGGGTGTCTTACCCCTACAGTATTTGTTTCCGGAGAGTAAGTCATCGAGACAAGAAAGTGCTCTAG